GCAAAATAATATTTTCTTATGTTTCCTTAAGAGCAACTTTTGGGAGAATAAAAAGTAGATGACAACCAAGCAATGTCTTATAAGAGGAAAGTGTTATTTTCAAATTGAAATGGTATGCAGTGGTGGATTTCATATTTAAATATTAGCACAGCGCTGGGAAAATGTGACTAGGGCCTAAAGAATCGCACTATATGGTTACTAAAAACCATTATGGTGAGTCGAGGCAACTATGAGCAAAAGAGACAGAAAGCTGTCTGAGCATATGTCAAAGCATTACATAATTTACTTTAAGAGTCTAATTGCTGATATGTGTCAGAGAAAAAAGAAATCAAGCTGAGCACAGAGCCTTCAGATGTGGGGGTGGGGCTCAGATCACCCAGAGTTTCCATGCAGGCCAAGGAGCAACCAGTCAAAGACAAATGCTCAACACAAGGCAGCCTCATCAAGAGAGTCACCTTTGAAAGACGAATGGAAAGATCTTGAAGCCATATTATTTCCCCCAATCTGAAGGCCAGTAACACTAAAATCAGAGGAGAAGAGGGCCTTAACAAGGGCAGCTGAATCAAAGCAAAGCCAGTGGCTCAAAGTTGTGGCATTTATGAAATGAACTTTGGAGTATGTTTCATTGACTATTCTACATTGGAAGCTGTCAGGAGGGGGAGCTGATAGCAGGGTGTGTTTTCTAAAAGTATTTGTAGAGCAAAAGTGAAATATTTCTGGGTGGAGGGAGAAAGAGTTAAAAGTTGGATACTTTGATGTTGGACAACCAAGGCTATATCACTGATCTTTATCATAAAGATAAAGGAAAAAGCACAGGAAAATTTAGGTTTCCCAGGCAGCAAGACATTGATTCTATTCTTATCTCTACCACCGGGGACCAGTCAGAGTCTCCCTGGAGCTCAGTTTCTTCCTCTTCCCTAAAATATGGTGGTAGAATCAAGCATATTCACCAAAAAAAACAGCAACAGAGTCAACAGCTAAGAAATTTTCCCTCAGGTCTTCAAAATATCTCATTCATTCAAATCTCTCACCAAATATAACTTCCTCAATTTCCCTGAACACCCTACATAAAATAGTACACTCCCAACCTATTCATTAGCTTCCTATCCTGCTTTATTTTTCTTCACTTCCCTGTCTCCACATGAAATTATATATACACTCATCCATTTACTTCTTGATTGCAATTATTTCAAGTAGAAAAAAACTCTAAAAGGATCCTGAGTAACCCCATGCCTACAACAATGATTGGTACATGACAGTGCACAACAAATATCTAAGTAAATAAATTAACAAAAGTTAGTTGTCATAGGAGTTGATAAAATAACAAGGAGTCTCATACAGGTAAGACAGAGTATTTCAGGTTGAGGTCATGATGCTGGACAATCCTGTGAAAGAGTGGTAGATTACAGGCACCTACAGGTGACATTTTCTCTTATGCATGGACATTTCTCTTATGCATTTTCTCTTATCCTTCAACATCATACCTCTGCAACCATGATTTTGTTCTTTCTGTTGTCATTTAAATGTATGATTATAGCATGTTTACATTTTTCTCATAAGATACTCCTAATAAGCAACACGGTCCAGACTTGAAATCCCTTCCATTTAAAGCTTTGGGATATATGTTAATAGAATATTAGTCCCAACAGGATTGATTCTATTAATTAGTCAACTCAGGGAGTCTGAGAGAGGAATGGAGACAGTCATATCTGCAATAAGTACAGCCTTTATTTTTAAGTAGTCCACTCTTTCTTTTTACTTGTTTCCTATGCTTGCTGTTCAATATTTTTTTCTCTCACTCATGGTCCATGTTTCTCTTTTTTCCATGTCTTTGCTTCCCTCTTTTTTCTGTCTTTTCTCATTCTCTATACTTCCGTTATATTGGTAGCTAAACCACAGGTCATATGCAGATTTTAAAATCTTATTTAGCCTTTGAGGGTTGACTATACAAGTAGAGTCATTCCTGAAGTAGGAGAGTGAAAGCTGCCAGATGTAGAAGGCTTAACAAATGCACGGTGCAGCTACTAAGAAAGTGTTCAGTTTCTTGGTTGTGAAACAATGCTCTTGGCCTGCCAAGTTTCTTCCTCAGTGCTCACATGATAGCCACAGAACTTGCCCACCTCTTTTGGCAATTAATCCTAGAATCATCAGATTTTAGAACTAGATTGGTCCTTAAAGATCATCTACCCCAATACCATCAATTTACAAATGAGGAAATGGAGGGCAAGAGGGGTTAAATGACTTGCCAGTGGTCACAGAATTAATAAGTTGACAGGATGTACAGACTCAAATATCCTGATTGCCAGACCAGGCCCTGGAAGAGTGAGTGTCAGAAAAGTCCAAGAAACCTTGCAGGTTACATCGTTAAAAATGAAAGAAAAGATAACTGATCTAAAAGAAAAGTTTGGGAATGAACACTGAGTACTTCAAGTGTTAATCAATCTACTACTTATTTCCAGATTTTTTGAAACTAAGCATATAACTGGAAAAAAATAGTCTGGACCATTATACTTTTTAAAAAACTCTTACAGCAATTTATTTTCTCATATTTAATAGTTTTCAGTGTAACATCTCATACACTTAGTGACTATTCCATTACGCTGACCTCTAACTTAAGCCCTTCAGTAATTTAAAGCAGCTGATTTTAATGTGCTGCTGCTTTAGTGTGAAGGAGGTTAAGTCTGTGTTTGTGTGCAATCAGGTTAAGATTGGCTCCAACAGGAGAAAAATCCATACATATGTTGAAAAGATCTGAAAAAAATGCCTGTATTCCCAACCTGATTACGACTTACATTTTTGCATGGTTTATCAAAGCAGATCACTAAAATCAAATCAAGATGTAAAATAGGATAAAATGGTTTTCTTCTCCATTTTTCCATTAATCACCATGACATATTCAAGAAACTTTTCCCTTTCTCACCTGAGGCAAGGTGGGACACTCCACTGGAAGTTATGCCAATTTTTATTAATTGGTGCTCAAGTTCCAAAATTAATTTTCTAGTTTTCATTTCCTACATTTGTAAATAGAAGTTATTTTATCATGGTTATTTGCCATTTTTTTAAATCAACAATTAATTCTATTTCATTTCCCTTTTAATAAAATAAAACAAATTCTAATATAACTTTGAAAGCCTACTTAAAGGTTCATAAAATTGATTTTATTTAACTGAAAATGTAGACACAGGGATTAGCAACAGCTGGTCTTTCCCAATAAATAAAACTTGGTAAAACCTAAATAGGAATTAAATCAGAGTTTATTACTGGTTCATTTTTCAAAAAAAGAATTAGAAAATCATACATAAGCATTTGTTTTGGCATAATTTAAGCTGCTGACAGTGTCAGGTTATATCCCATTAGGACAGTATACTGTTGCCGGTAGCACAAAAAAATACAAATGCAATAAACGTTATGGTTAACAATCTAGCTGTTATCTAGAAAATTCTCAAGCAAGATTGGGGTTAGGTCAAAATAGAGTTTGAGGAGAGGGAATGTGTTGGCTTCTTGTTACACATAAGCATGTTTGTAACAGGAGCATTCTCAGTTTAATTTTTGCTATTAACATAAACCACAATTGGGGGACCATGTTGCTGGAAGAGGAATGGGGGGAGGAGCTAGTTATATAAACAATATACAACAAAGAAAGTCTTTATTTCCAATACCTGAATACATCGGGTTTGTTTTTAGGCAGAAGGTTGCAGGTTAAATGCTCTCAGCTATCCAAGAAGGGGCTTATTAGTTTTGTAAGAAAATATTTTCTTATAATTTGACTGAAAAATACCCAGTTTAAGTGAACAAAACCATCCCTTGTTAGTGAAAATCAGACCCAAAAAAACTTTGTTTCAAAGACCCAGTAAGGAAAAGCAAAACTAATTCAAGAGGAAAAGCTCCTTTTCTAATAGTCGCTTCTGAATCTGGATCTAATAGTTCTCAAAGGCCGACTGGAGTCTTCAAGTCTTAAAGTTTTGTCTCTCTCCGTAGATCACAGGCGTTCTCTATGAGGTAGCATAATACGTTTGTAAACCCATTTTAAGCAGATATACATTCTCTTTCTGGGCTATAGTCATAAAGCTAAAAAATTATGCGACAGGAAAAAATAAAAGCAAACAAAAGTTTTGATTATTTTATAGGGCAGTTTTCCCAAGACAACTTTCTTTTTGGCTTTTCTGTTCTGTGTACTAAAATATCCCAACTTCATCTCCGGCAATGTCATACCCACTAGTGATACAATAAATGGTAACAAATGATTACTGCTTTAAGCAGCAGAGTGTCAGGGTTGAGAACTGCATTTCAATGTACTGATCTGTTTCAGCCAGCACCTTAGCCATGGGCTCTTCTCGTTTCTAAATGGGCCTAATCCTGTTATTACAGAATAATTACTGCAAATCAGCACAATTACTACAAAGACTTGAATAAACACACACATACCAGTAGCTGTTTTCTACAAATTATTATCAAAACAAAGAGAAACGGCTAATTGTGGTAACATTAAGACAACGTTTATTCCTCCCAGTGTTTGGGTAAGTTTATTTTAAGTTGTCATCTTCAACTTGTAACGATGCAGATGATTTTACAGATTCCATAAACCTTTCTAATCTAAATTCTTCTCAACTGAAAGTTGGCTGCTTCCCTCACAGCAACCTCTGCAGAGGCCTGATTTACTAAGAACCCGCTTTTATGGTACATTTGCAAAAAAAAAAAAAAAAAAAAACATATATATGTATATATGTATGTATGTATATACTTTGAGAAAGCTCATTTGTAATATACTCTTCTAAATTATTTTTAAGGTATCATGAAAATGAAAATAAATGAAATATTTACTTTATAGTCTTCACAACTTAAGCATTTGTTTCTAAATAAGTACGAGGTACAATTTTATTCCTCACTGCTATTATCAGGTTTTCTTCATGGGTATATAATTTTTACTGGAAGGAAGGGTAGTTAGGGAGGGGAAGGATTCAGAAAGCATACAGCACACGATAGTAATTATTCAAACCTACCTCCTGGACAATGCCTCAAGGCCATCTTACATCTCCTGGATTCAGCAATGGTTGGACATGGTATTGTGTCTTTTGCTGGCTTTTTTACAATTTGTCGTGTTCTGGTTTCCAGACCCCATTTAAATCCACATGTGCGATTATTTCTGCTACAAGTTCCCCATTCGCTCCAATGACCAACTTCACATCCTTCTAATAAAGATTAAAAAAAAAAAAAAAAAAAAAAACACAAAGCACAGATAATAATTTGGTATCCATTTGCTTCACTGTCAAATTTATACAGCAGTGTTTCTCCTCTGACCCACCTTCAGATACCAAAAACTAAGTTGTACAGTCCACAGAGACCCACACCTGCCTTTTGAGAACTTTAATTCTTTGAACTATAGTTTACTTGTATCTGCAATAAACAAAGGCCACGTAAGTCATTAAAAAGCTATTACTTTCCCTTTGTCTTAGTTCACTGATTGAAGGGATGCTACTGGTCAGTTCTAAGGACACTGACATGTCTAACCTTTAAAAGATTCAACAGTTACCACCTGTAGTAGAAGGCACACTTTTACTATGACAGAAAAAAAAAGTTTTATAGATTAATTCTGAAGGCCCCTCTCCCTGCAAAATCCACAAAAGTGTTTATTTTGGAAGCACTTGGTGAAAAAGATGGGGAGATTGTTTTTTCATTTTTTAATTCTCTCTATTCTTTCAACAGGTGTCTGGAAACCACAATAGGTATTTCTTATTCCTTATATTGATGTTATACAATACTATGGTTTGAAAAACAAACAGAATCAGATATTTGAAAATATATGTTTTCCCTAGATATATAAAAGCTTTTAGAAACCCTCTGGTAAATCCATGTAAGGGAAAAGTAGGTCCCCCCACCCCACACCCCGACTCCCTGGTAAGGTGGAGGAAAGAGTAAAAGGATAAAACAAGTAAGCTTAAGTCTCCTCCTCAACTTCACCGTGAATAAGCCCTGTCACACTAGTGGACGAGGAGTCAGGCCCAGAGTCCACACACAATTAATAGTGCAGTATTCTAGATCTCAGCAGCCACCATAGCTATCTTTAGATTTTTCAAAGCCATTTAAGATTTTTATTTTTCAAAGCCATTTAAGATTTTAAAGAAATGCATAGGACTCCGTTTTTAATGTGTTTATAGTTAAGGATTTCATAAGCATTTCCATTGAACATTTGCAATGGGTGTGAGTCTTGTCTCTCAAAAGCAAATTCAACATTTTGCATATGCTCTTCTAGTGACTTTCTTATTTTTAATAGTATTGCCTCTATGAATATTAACACACATAAATGGGAACTTCAGTGTACACATTTTCCAAAAACTGCTCATTTAAGTGTAATCTCCTCTACAAGCTTTCAAATATATAATTACAGACTATTTCAGCAATATTTCTGCAGAAAAAAATTGTCAATTTTCTTTTAAGTCTGTATTTAAAGGGATGGAAAGTCTAATTTATAATACATAGCTCTTTTATATATCATATCAGATATAACATCAAATTTGGGGTGGGGGGAGGGGCACATGTAACGATACCCATGATTAGATTCAGGCATTCATCAAAATCTAGCCACTGACAGATCTTTACCTTTTAATCAGTGGTATAAAAATTCCAAAATATTTTTTAAATGCTCAGAAATTATAAAATTTATAAAATGTGTACTCCTAGGTATTTTCCACACATAATATAGATATGTGTATTAAATTATGCATTCAAGTTATCTAAATTTAGTAAAAGTAAAATTGTTTTAATGCACTTTGCAACATGTATCATCAACAAAATATATCTGGCACAAAACATTATTTTTAATTGCTTTTTTTTTTTAAAACACACAAAGCTAAGCAAGCAGCTCTATAATTTATAAACATAGCAAAAGCAATAGAATAGATATCCAACATGGTGCTGCCTTGAAATTTTGTTGCTTTTCTTCTAAACAAACTGTTTTTCTTTAACAGTTACTAATAATTTATTAAGAAAATAAGAAAGGGATGTATATTTATTACACAGATAAAAAGTTTTATCAGCACTTAAGTAGGTTAACCTAGTAAACATACAACTAACAAATTTTGTACCAAGATATGAGAATACCTACCATCATGATTCCTAAAGAATTCAGAAAGTCAGAAAAAAATTTACATAATTTTTAGTTCTGATTAACAAGAGAACCAATTTGTTTTAGGTTGAATATATCCAGCGTGCATATTTTCAGGAAACAGGTGTTAAAACAAAAGTTGCAGTTTGAGAGTTACATTAAAAACTACTCACCCACACATTCCATGGTTTCGTCTAATGGTGCAAAACCATCTGGACATTCATCAAAGCAACGGCCTCTATGCAAATAAAAGCCTACTTTGCACTTGGTACAAAAGTCTTTGCTAAAGCAAGAATCACAGTTTTCTATTCTGCATCCTAAAAACAATTTTAAAGAGAAAAAGAAACTTTCAGTCAAATAAATTTACTTGTATTACAAATAAAATTTTCACAAACTCACCGGTTAGCCCAATTGAAATTCTAGTGGTCAGAGAAATATGTGTTCGACTCATTTGTTTCCTGATGTCATCTTATTCTAAATCATTCCTCCCTCTTCCAACAACTCACCACATCAATAAGCTAAGAGAGAATGTCAAACTAGGGCCACAGGCAGCATGAGACCCTTCGGGATTGTTTGCAACTCCAAATGGGATTAAAACAAAAGATTAAAAATAAATCAAAAACACCCCCACTACAAATTATATTGTTGCCAGGATCGAAATCTGTTCTGCCCTCGAAAAGACGTACAATGAAAAACACGATGCGAACACTGTAATCAGTATCTTCTGTTTGGGGACAGTAATTGAGTTAAGAATTTTAATTTTGAAAATCAAAGAGAAAATGGGGTAGAAAATGTAACCAAAATGTGAACTCACTGAATACTGAAATTTTAAAAATTGAAAAAATAGAATTTAAAGGTAAAATTCTTTTATTAAAATAGACTATGCTAGAAATAATGATAGTTTTTAGACCTATAAAAAGAAAATGGCAACTCTTTGCCTTTCAGTTTTGAATTTAAGCAGGTTTTCATGTATTAAATGACCACCATGAAGCAGCTAACTCAACTTCTAAAATGTTACCAAATACACAGTCAGAACACACCAACTATGTGTGGGTTGAAGTTCACAGGGAAATTATACTATTGCTCCTTTGAGAGGGAGGAAAATGATGGACACAGAGGAACAATTCATCATCCCATAAAAGGTTCATTTGTAGTCTTAAATACTGTAACCTATATTTTAATAAAACAGTGGTCAATAGCTGGTCAGTAGCCTCTCAATCATGGTCAAAATACATAACCATTATGTCCACAAATTGTTGGTTCTTGCTACATTTTTTTTTTTTTAAAAGCAAGCAGCCCTTCCTGTTATAGAATTATTTTCCAAGAAATGATAAGCATTCCAAAGGATAAAATAGAACTAAAGGGTGAAGAGAACAAAGCATCTACACTTTAAAAAAATGAAAAGAGGACTACACAAGGGTACTTCAAAAAGTTCGTGGAAAAATAGAATTACAAGTTAATATGAATCTTCCCATGAATTTTTTTGAAGTACCCCCAATACACTTTGTAAATCAGCTGTTACAAGGTCTACAAGGTCTGATTTTTCTTTAAAATATGGCCTTCACCAATAAGCTTTTTGGCCAAAAAGTTATAACAATAAGCATTTGGAACTGATCTATATTGTTACTTGTAGCTCTCTTTCCTCATTTCATTCCACATTCCTAATACCAGTTCCTAGAATGTGGAATTTCTAAAATACCTGCCATTCTCTATAAAGCCCCTTAGGACTTCTGCAGGCATAAATCCTGCTAAAAGAAAGCTTAATTATTTATTCTCAAATTTAAGTAGAATAAAAATATGATACATTCAAATTGGAGACTACTACAACCATTTAAAAAGCTCAAAGTGAATTCTAAGTAATGACTCAGAAAAAAGCTCTAAGACCTAGCATTAAGTCAAAAAGGCAAGTTGCAAGATACATATAGTACGATACAATAAAATTATATGTGTGTGTGTGTATGTTCCTGTATATGAAGTAGCTTAGAGAAGTTAATTTGGTTAAGTCCTTAAAGAAGTTAATTTACGTCCTTGTGTAGAATTTTGAAATATGCTAAAAACTATGTATTTCTGAATTTCAATCTTTTATAATTTTAATATATTAATAATAAAAGTCTAACAGAAAAAGTTATTGAAATATACATTTGTGACCTATTCAAGTTTATTTAAAAATTACTATATTAACATTATGAAATAAACCCTTTTGATTTTAACAGGCAGGAATAAAGACATTATCTCACCTCTAACACTTTCAGATTTGGGTGTATGAAATTGAACCCCTTATTTAATAATGCTGAACTTGTAACCTTCAAAATACACAATATTTAACCATCTCTTGCCAATATCCCTTGTTTTCATATGTTCAATGGCACGTATCATAAGAAAAAAAAAACTAAATAAAACATTGTCAATGCAATAAAACATTTAAAAAAAGAAAGTTTGGATGGGGGCCAAGTCCTCACATCTGAAGCTCTGCTGGCTTTCCTGATCTCAGTTGCTCTCTGCCGCAACATAAAACCAACCCAGATGGCCTATGCCTTCAGCAGTCTGCACTGACAGAACTCATGTAACCACACACATCTATAAACCCAAGGCTTTTTAAAGCTAGCAACTGCACAAACCACCTACCTCAGAAGTCTCCTTCTGATGTGTGCTTCAGCACCTGGAAACCTCTTCTCCCCAGCTCCAGGCCTATCTACAATCCCTTGCCCTGTTCAGCTATTTCTCCAAGAGGAAAAAAAAAACTTTGTTTTGCTTTGGGAAAAACACTCTTTGTGGGGCCTCATAGTCCTATACTTTCTCACCCAGCTTATAGCTACTTCCCAAAAATTACTTAAGCTTGTTATCCTTAATTTAATTGGGATTCACGTCAATTCTATTGATTTTTATTTAAATATGAAAGTAAAACATTCTTATTATAAATAAAAATATAAAACAGTACAGAATGTTTAAAGGAAAATATGAAAATCCTTTCTCACCTGAATAGTACATCAGGCCTACTCTTCAGAAATAGCCACTGTGTTAACAGTTCCTTATGTACACTTTAGGAAAAATCTCTATGTAAATCTTATCAATTAGTGAGTTAAACACCATTAAAACACCAATGGGATCATACAATAGATTGTTAAACTTTAAAAACTTTATACTGCATAAAAAAATAGGTATAGCAAAACTTACTAAACACAGGCCTTCTCTATAAAAATATGGGCTTTAAATCCTTGTTAGAAATGTAAGATCCTGGTTTAGCCAACTTACATGCTTCTAAATTACAGTGCCTTCTCAAAAATGTAACCCACCAAATGAGGACTGCCAATACTGGTTTTAAGTAAAATTACTGTCCAAGTAGAACTGTGTCCAAATGCAGTCTGACAGCTTACCCTGGCCAAGAAACAAAAAAACATAGGCTGGGTACCCCCTCTTCTGCTCTTCTGTCCTTGCACAGTACCCCATACAGGCTCTAATACAACATTTTTCAAATTATACTATAGTCCAGTTCAACAATTCATTCCAAACATTCCCCAAGAACCTAGTAAGGGTCAGGTATTATGCCAGACCCTAAGAACATAAAACTTTAATATCCATTCCCTATCCTGGAGGTGCTAAAGCCAAAGAGAGGGGCCACGTGGCACTAACAGGGCACTGCAATGTAACAGTAGATATGAGAGGCATGTGTTGGGTACACTAGAGGTAGAGAAAAGGGTCCCATTTCTGTTCTGCCATTAAAGTTTTATTTTTTGAGTCTGAATTCCCAATTCCTAACAGGGCTGGACACATAGTGGAGTTTAAATGCTTGCCAAGTGAACAAACATAAATGCCATTTAATACTCAGTTTTTAAAATATTTGAATGCTTAGCATGAGATTGCTTGCACATGCACTGTAAATATTTCTAATGTAAAAAAAAAGCCATGCTTGCTGTAAAGAACTGCAAATCATATTGGAAGAACAGTGAAACACCTGAAAACAATTATAATAGAGAATTTAAATATCTAAGTAAGGCAGGTGATATGTGCTGTGGAAATTGGAACCTCAGATGAGCATGTTTTAGAGAGACAGGGAAAAGCAGAGTCCTGGAAGGGACAGCCACACATAACGCAATAGAGAGAATTTACATGGTGCCATGTGATAGGCCCAATGGTGGTTGGCTTGGATGGAGTGGAGGTTAAAAGGTGGGGATGGCCACTTGGGTTTAGAGGTTGTGGGTGGTGAATATAAATTATTTATTTGTACTTTGTGTTTTTGAGTATTTAAGTAACAATTAAAATTAATAAAAATGAAGCTAAGTTCAAGATTAGGGGCATGGTGTGACTAGTACTGAGTGTTCCCCATAGATTCCTGAACACGGGGGCAACGTGACCAAAATGGTACCTTGTTTGTTCCCCCATTCAGACAAGTGGGGCCAGGCATCCTGATGGATACCTGCAGACACAGGTGATAAAGCAAGCTTCCTACAGCTAGGGATCTTCAGTCTACTAAAGGGAAAGGAACATAAGCAGGCAATTAGGTGATGATGGGACCACTCTAAACTAGAAGTATATACAAAGTGAGCTGGAGAGTGAATATTTTCAGAAAATTAACCTCCCTGAAAGCAGGAAGAGAGTGGAGGTCAGGAAAAAAAACACTGGGAGGCTCAAGACTCAGAGATAAGAGTAATGGGGAAAGGAATTACCATGAATCAGTAGAACTGACAAACTGAATGGAGAAGGTGAAAAACAGAAGCCAAAGATCACACAGTTAACCCATCTTCCTTTGGTCCCACAGTGCTCTTGGGGCACTCAGCACACAGAGAATTTGTTTTGTTTATCTTTCTAGCTAGATCTAGGTGACAAGAATCATTTCTTAATGGAGTATCTCGGCATGGCCAATCATAAGCAAGAAAATTAAAACCTTAAATTAAAAGCAGAGACAAATCAACCTTTGTTGAATCCAACTGTGAAAATGTAATTCTATATATTACAATCAATTATTGGAGAAAATATATTTCTATATATTATAATCAATTATTGGAGAAAGGGAAGAAATCAGTGAGGAATCCATTTTCCCTTATTTCTTCATGCTCATCAGGGCTGTGGGCTTCACGTTGCCTTAGCACAATGTGAAAATCCAACTGCTTGTTGCTCTTCAACTGCTCTTTATTTCAAACCAGCGTCTCCATTCAGAACGTGGCAGCCACTGACACCCACAATGGGTTTGTCCTCAGGTGGCAGTTACAAAATTTAAGGAGTATCAGGCCAAGCCACGGGAACCCCTAGTGGCTTCTCTGCTCATAGTAGCATAGAACTTAGAAATTAAAGAAACATTGTTCCAAAAAAAACATTTAAA